CTTTCAAAAAGGCAAAGTTACCAAATGTATTAATCTGCTTCCCCCCCACCCAGCCACCTGACTCCCCTGGTTTAAAAAAAAAATCAAAGACAAGTCTCACCTCCTAACTTGGCATTCACCATCACATACAAGTGTTCCTGTGGATAGACAGTCACATCTCTAGACACAGCATGTAAGCTAATGGTTGGATATTCCAAAGAAAATCCCATTCCAGACCCATCAAACCAAGACAGTCGGCTGAAAAATCAAAACAAAACAGGATTTTAAAACAAGGGCAGGTGTGTTAATACAACAGATTGACAGCTAAGGTGCACAGAAAATTACAGCAAGCAAATGTTTCTGCAAAGAAAATCTAACAATTGTTCAAAGTTAGTGCCCAGTTTTACAGTGATTTGATAAGTCAACAAGTTTATAACCAGCGGTTTTGGAAACAACTAAGACTATGAGAATGGAATCATCATAGAATCCCTACAGTATGGAAACAGGCCCTTTGGCTCAACATGTCCACACCAACCCTCAGAGCATCCTACCCAGACCCATCCCCTATAACCCATCTAATAAACACTACAGGGTAATTTAGCATGGCCAATCCACCTAGTCTACACATCTTTGGACCATGGGAGGAAACCGGAGCACCCGGAGGAAACCCACGGAGACACAGTGAGAATGTGCAAACTCCACACAGATAGTTGCCCAAGGGTGGAATTGAACCCAGGTCCCTGGTGCTGTGAGGCAGCAGAGGTAACCACTGAGCTACCGTGCCACCCCAAATATTGTTACTATTTTCCTAAAAGTAAAAACTATGCCCTCCGAGCTAATGCATGCTACGGAAATGAATGTTTAATGGTATTAATCTTGGAGACCCGGATAATGTTCTGGGATGTGGGACTGAATCCTGCCATGGCTCAGTTGATAACATTCTTGCCTATAAGCCAGAAGGTTGAGAGTTCAAAGTTCCACTCCAGGACTTGAGCATAAAATCTAGCTTGATATTCCAGTACAGTGCTGAAGGAGTGCTGCACTATCAGAGGTGTCACCTGCTAGTTGAGGTGTTAAATTGAGACCAGCCTGTTCTCTCAGGTGGACATGCGATTGCAGGACATTATTTTGAAGAGGAGCAGGGACTGAATCCCAATGCCCTGGTCTCAATAACAGAACAAAAATAAATTATACTGAAAAACAGATTGCTGTGTGCAAACTGGCTGCTGTTTTCTACATTAACATATTTTCTATATTTTGCAAGACCATAAAAGGTGTTAAATAAATGCAAGTCCTTTTCATTAGTGATCCTCATTCTGTAACACGCAATGTCCCATGTACCATTCTAGAAAGAACTGACAATATATTACCAGACGTACAACAAAAACATAAAATTATGGCCACGGAGAAGGGTCTATATAAGCTTCAACCAATGCCCCTCAAACCCCAGCGTAAAAGAGAGAAGTTTTATCACTGCTGAGATAGAAATATTCCCTTGCTAAGGTCATGAAACGGACACCTATGCCCCAAACCAGTCAATACTCATTGCATTAGGTCCTATCCCAAGTCATTCTTTAGTCCCTGAAACTGTGGATGCTTCGTTAAACCTCTAATGGTTTAACAAGCTGTGGTCCTTAAAAATCCAAAGTGGAAAGTGTACCCTCCTTTTTTACTCAGCCTTCTCCCCCAACTTTTCAATCCTGTTGGGTGCCCTGCAGGATAGTGGGCTAGCTGCTCCAAAGATAAGGATAATGATCCTTTGATAGCAGTCCCTGGTGGCTCATTCAATGTTCACGTTTTGTTATGAATGCTGGCATCTCAAGGACTTCACTTTCACTCAGTCAAATGAAACTATTGATTCCAAGCCATTGATGCTAGGTTGCAGACAGCACGACTCCAGCAGCAATGCAAAACCCTCAATCCTTGTAGTCGTCCGAAGTATTTCTAGTTGAGGCATGAAAAGTTCAGAAAGGTTATGGAAGAGTTTTACCACAGTGACGTCAAAGCAGGATTACAATTACACGCTTAGACTGGAGAAACTAAGGCTGTTCATGTTAAAACACAAGAGGTTAAGAGGAGATTTGATAACAATGTTTAAAACCACATAGAATTTGAATTAGGTTGAATAGAATCATAGAATAGAATCCCTATAGTGCAGAAATAGGCCATTCAGCACATCGATTCTGCACCAACACTCCAAACAGCAACCCACCCAAATTCTGCCTCCTATCCTATTCCCATATTTACCATTATCCATCTAGCTGACACATCCCCGAACACCACGGACAATTTAGCATAGCCAATTCTTTGGCTTGAGGGGGGAAACTGGAGCACGCAGCAGTAGCCCACGCAGACATGGGGAGAAAATGCAATCTCCACACAGCCAGTTAGCCAAATCGAATAAAGCAAACTGTTTCCACCAGCCTAATAACCATAGGGCTCAGATCACTGGCAAACAGAAGAACCAGATGACAAGAGGAAAGACTATGTCATGTGAGGAGTGGTGAGGATTTGGAATGTAGTGCTGAAGTGGGTAGTGGATATGACAGACTTCAAATACATTGGATAAATACCTGAAAGCGCACCAATACTAGGGGCATGGCAAAAGAATAATGACACTAGCGCGATTGCTTTTCAGAAGTGCTGGCGCAGTCACGATGAAGCCGTATGACCTCGTTCTGTGCTGCACTGTTGTGATTGGACATAAACATGATTTTTTTTTGTCCAGAATCACCAATGGAAAAGTACGATCAGATAGCAGACAGCTGTGGCCAAATAGGTCCACCATCATCCTTTGTGTAGCATGAAACCATAAGCAGTGGGAACAGGAAGAGGCCATTCAGCCCCTAAAACCATTCAGTAGGATCTGAGGGACTTTGCTAAGGCTGTACTGACTGAACTGCCTTGATTGCTCATGGTAAGCTTGTGAGTTACACAGAACAAGGCAGCCCCAGTTTTAACTCAAGTTTGGTAGATGAGGTATCAACTGGACTAAATGACAAAGCAAAGTTCAGTCTCGGTTCCTGCACACTGCTATCCAGTTTGCCATAAAGTATAAATTTAATTTGCTAAAAAATGCCTTGCAATTCCAATTACAGAGGAAAATAAATATAACTGAAAACAATGGAGCACAAGTCAAAAGCAAGTTTTACACAAACAGCAACACTTGCCCAACCCATTTGCTTTTGGTCCCTCACTATTAAAATCAATGTTTCACATCAGAACATTAGGTAGAAAAGGGAATGGAGAAATCTAAAGGAAGGTGTTGAAACTAGACAAAGACAAGTTCAAACTAATAAAATGTTTATGTCGAGCATTGAATGTGATCCCCAAAATCCTGGATTAATAAAAAACAATTGAGCCATGGAGCCATGGGTAACATTCTTCTCTATCTTGTAACTCATCAGCTAGGGCTCATTGGTAATGCATGCTCAAGTCAGAATGCTGTAGGTTCAGACAGTTTAGAGATCTGAGCTCAAAAATCTCAGCTGACAGTCCTGTGGACTACTGAGAGAGTGCTACACCTTCTGAATAAGACACCACACTGAGGCCCCATCTGGCCTCTCAAACAGTTTTCAGGAGCACAGCAGTACACCCCAGTATCCTGGCCAATTTATCCCTCTGCCAATATCATTTAAAACAAATTACCTGGGCTACAATCACATCACTATTTGAACACAAACTGGTTGTTATATTTCCTACTGACTCCACCAAAGTAATCATGCTTCAAAAATACTTCATTGGCTATTAGGTCATTTCAGGATGACCTGAGATTATGAAAGGCATGACATAAAGGTAGGATTTTCTTCTATTTTGACAAAGTTCCCAGATTACAGTTATTTTCTCTAAACACCTTAGAAGACCTGTCCGTACAGTTTGATTCAAACTGGCATTTTGGCTGTTGTGTACATTCAGAGTAATCTCAAATTCCCATTGGAGAACCACCCAAAAGAGAAAAACAGCTCTCTCAATTCAAGACTGATGTGAAGAAACTAGAGAGTGTTTTTGTTGGGAGAAGTAGGGATGTTAGGCAATCTGGTGCTCAACTTACAGAAGGAGTTTAGCTTACACATCGCACTCTTTATAATTTATGGCAGAAGCAGGTTCCTATTAAGATACAAGGGTAGACTGCTCACCTAAATGGCATTTAACTTCACTTGTCATTCTATATTTACCTATGGGTGCATGGGCCATTACAAGTTGGCTAAGAGGTCGAGATATTTTTGGCACAGTTGTCCTTCACAGACTTTGACATTAAGTAAGGCTGACAGCCAAACTGGCAGATTTGCAAATGACACATTCATTGCTTCTGTACGATTCCCTGCCATTCAACACCAAATCAGGCATAATCAGCACAATGGGAACCAGCACAAACACTGAACTGATTCAGGAATATAAAGGGCTTACACATGTTTGCACATAACCTGCGTTTGATGGTGGCAATAGTTGTCTTGAATAAAATGTCTTTCATTCTTCAGTGTGAATATCCTTCACCTTAAAGAGAAAAAATACACCAAGGCAAAAAGAAGCGCTTTTAAGTAGCAATTGCTTATTTAAAAGCAAAGCTAGCATTCACGTGTCACTAACTATATGCAACACAAAAGTTAAGAAATATTCCCACACATACTGAGATGAAAGGCAAAGCTGTGGCTATGGGGTAGGTCCTGGGTATTGAGAGGTGAGGAAACAAATGACAATGATGTTCACCAAAACTCTGAGTGATTTTAAAGAGTGGAAATATGGTCAGTTACCAGATACCAGCTGAAAGATTAGAGATTAGGGTTACTGGAGAAGGAGCAAGGGCGTCAACATACCTCCCTAAAGTGACAGATGAGGGGCATCAACACTAACTCACTTCATGAAGCATAAAGTCTTGAACTCTGACAGATCCTGGCACGGATAGGTTGAAGGACCTTCTTCGGTGCTGCAAGCCTCTATATACATTGGTTTTTGGGCTCCATTTGCGGTCAACGCCACTAATAGGTGGAAAACTGTGCAAGGATGCATAAAACTGGAGCGACATGGTACAATGTGGAATCGTGAGAGATTAAGGTACGGTTGGGATATGGTGAAATTGCCTGTTAATTTATACCGCTTGGGTCTGTACAACAGAGGAAGGGCCATGCCGCAATCTGCAACTCATTTGGAGACAAACCGGGCAGGGAGAGGAGTAATCAGACTGTAGGAAACTCGTGCAGATTACGCTGCATCCTTGAACGACATTAGCATTCAAAGGAGGATCTTAACTGAAGTTCCATCAGCTGAGAACAGCATGAACCTCTGAATAGCAAAATGTAAACTGCGTCTCCAGGCCAAACAATAATCCATTTACCCTTTTACACAAGAGCTATTGTGAACAAACTGTACAGTCTGGACTGATTCCAAGAACAGGGCAGCATCCCACTGCCCGGATTCTGTTTGAAAATAGGTCCAAAGACCTTCGCCTCAGGCAAGAAACCGCATTGTTATGCATGCAGTGCATATGCTGGGAGCTGGGATACAGGAGAACAGAGACTGTCTTCACAAGTTATTCATATAGAAACTCCCATTCAGATGACCCTGATCAAGCAGCAGGTTGCAAACCCTACACAAACTGTGCAGAGTCGAGTGCCTGATCCATTAAGCAAAGAAATGGAGGATAAAAGTGTATAGATAACAGTTGTGCACAGGGTGTGAATATCAAGCGCAAGTTTTCTATTGGAATAATTGAAGCAGAAGACAGACAGGAAAAGGTCCAGATTTTAAAGCCTGTCTTATTTCTTAAAAAAAAAAGTCTTCGATTAAAATTGTCATTTGCATTTAAATTCCAAGCCAAATAAGAAAGCAGAGCTCACCAGAATATCACAAAGGTTAACAGGATTAAACGACGAGGACGGATTGTAAAATATTACTTTTGTATTCTGGAATATGGAAATAAGGAGTGACCTGATGATAAATGGATACATTTCACTTAGCGAGGGAGTCTAGGACAAGGGGGCATAATGGTCAAATTAGAACTGGGCCATTCAAAGTACTGTCTGGAATCACTTCTTCACAGGGGAGTGGAAATCTGGAACTATCTCCCCGTAAAACTGCTGAATCCAGGGGTCAGTTGAAAATTTCAAAACTGAGAAGTCTTTGGTCAGGCAATACAGTTAAGATTAAGTACAGCCATTTGTCAGACTGAATGACCTCCTCCTGTTCTCATATATTAAAGCTGGCTGGAACAGAGTTTCTCCATACAAAAGGCCATGGAGCCGAGACACTAAAAATTGGGGCATCACGTCAGCGCTGTAGGAAGGCAACAACTTCTTAAACATCTTAATCTTTGTATAATCTGGAAATAAAAACTGAATAATATACTGCACAAGGCACCTCTGACAATCACCCCAACATCCCTTTCTCTCTTCCTTCAGCAACCAACACTACTCACTCCATTGCTATTGAACCTCTTCTATCCCACTTTGAATCACCCGTTCTAAACCCACCTACTACCCCTGTTTTTTCCCCCACTCTCAGGTAATTTCCCCAGTTGCTACAAGGACCCCATTTTAACCCCCTTTCCCAGAGGGCCAAGTTTGAATTCCTTTGTCCAACGCAGTAGGAAAATTATCAAAGTCACAAATGACAACCTGTGTGGCTATGACAAAGGTAAACTTTCCCTACTCATCCTGACTGCGGTCTTTGACGTGCTTAACCGTAACTCACCTCCTCTATTGCTTCTCTGGGTGGGACTGTTACCAGAGTCAATTTCTATCTATCAAAATGAAGCCTGCAAATCGCTTGCTGCTCTCGTTTCTCTTCCTGCTCCCACATCTTTACAATCTTTACCCCAAGAATTACCTTTATTCCCCTACCCCATTTATTTTCTACATGTTGCTCCTCAGAGACATTGCCCAACAGCACAATGTTTGGATATCTGCAGGTAAACTAACAACATCCCACTTGTCATTCGCCTCCTGATCTACTGTTAAAATTTTTGGACTGTTTATCTGATATTCAGATGAAATTTCTCCTAATTAAATATTGGGATGTTTGTTGTTTTTGTTCTCCACTCCAAACTCTGTTCCCTAGCTATTGTCCCCACTCTTCCCTCTTTTGGCAAAGGTCAGATATTGAACCAGTCTATTTCCAACCCTGGTCTCTCATATATCCAAGGTGAACTTTCGATCTCAAATTCGTGCTGTTTTTAATGATCACTTCCTTCCATCTCTGTACCACTGCCTGACTTCATCCCTGTCTTAGTTCATCTACTGTTGAAACTCTAATCTGTACCCATGTTACCTGAAGACGCAACTTTTCCAACCCATTCCTGCAGGACAACTACATTCTACCTTCAATAAATAAGGTCACTCAAAACTGTGGTACTCGTGTAAACTTGTAGCAAATGCTGTTCATCTATCATCCACACTCATTGATTTCCAAAGGCTCCTGGTCAAACAAGATCTTCCCTTTAGTCCCTCCATGCACTTGTCTCTCCCTACCTCTCCTCTCCAGCCCCAAAACCCACAGATTTCTGCATGCCTCTAATTCTGACCTTTTGTGCATTCCTAACTATGAGTACTGCGCCACTGGCAGCTGCACTGCCTGCAGCCAATTAGACCCCAAGCTCTGGAAGTCACTCCCTACAAATTTTCAATGCACCACTGTCCTTTAAGACACTTCTGAAAAGCTTTGACTCAGTTATTGGGAACCTGACCCAATTTCTTCAAATTTTTGATAATGTTCTTGTGAAGTACCTCTCCCCCCCCAACCCCTAACCCTTTTCCTGTCTCTCTCGGTCTTTCTTCATAGGTGGTCCCTTTGGATCAAGAATGACTTCCTTCTTTGATGTTGTAGGTCCTGAGGTAACTAAACAGTCCAATGTAAGATCTGAACATTCTGTTGCAGGCGGTACTTGAGGGAGAAGAGGTGGTGGGATGCTCACATTTTCACACGCTCCTATTGCTGTTTGCATTTGGCTTCACCTGGAGAAGTTTAAGATTGCTGGACCTTCGCAAGTTTTTCTTCTCCAGCCTGGGGCAAAAGATTCCTGTGAGTCAGTGCTGATATTGCTTCAAGGATGTTCTTGAAGCATTTCCTCTGTCCTTCTGGTAACAGCTTGACATCACAAAGCTTGGGGTAGAAGGGTCATTTCAGAAGTCTTGTGTCTCCTCTGTTCCTACTTGCAACCTCTTCTATCTTTCCCTTTTCCCTCCCTCTCTCAATTTCCTTTTCTTCTGCTTACTCCCACTTGGAAACCTTGCGCGCTCACTCTCCTCAATACCCCAATCCCCCATCTCTCCTCCACTCAGTCCACTCAAAGCCCTTTGCAATTAATTTGATCCCTGTTTCCATCAATCATCCTTTATTCCCTCTGCTTTCCCCTAAACTCCCCTTCCCTCTACTCTTTCTCCACCCTCTCCCCAAACCCCTTTCACTTTCCACTATTGCTGTCTCTTCAACACCCAATTTAAAATTTCTGCCCCCTTCATCACCTTACTCCCATTCCCTCACCCCATCTCCCACAACATTCCCCTCTACTTACCCTCACACCCCTTCCCACAATTGATCTTCCCTCCTTCCTTCCTCATTCCTTTTCCCATGCCCACACCCTTCCCCTCTTCTCAGCCCTTTTCGTCTCCTCACACCTTCACTCCCCTCCGGCTCATACCCTTGCCCCCAACTCCCCATTCCACTCCCCCTCACTCTTTCCCCTCTCCACACTCCCACTTTCTATTCATTCTTTTCCCATACCTTTATTCTCCACCCCACACACCCAAATATCCTCCTCCCCATACCCTCCCCTATTCGCCACACTCTCAACCTCACCCTGCTGCATAACCCCACCCTCCTCTCCCTGTCCCTCGCACTCTTTCCCTGCCCTCAACCCCAAACCCATTCCCCCCCCCCCCCCGGTCCTTTCACCCCCCCCCCCCTCCCCCCCCAAGTCCCCCCCCCTCCCCCCCCCCGCCCCCCCTTGTAGTATTTCGGGCCCCGGCTCCCACTCTCACCTCTCGGCAATATACAAGGTGCCTGTGCCCAGGCCCTTGCCGTCCAGCACCGCTGCAATCTCGGGCTGCTGGAGCCGCACCCCCTCGGCCGGGGGCGGGAAACACCTGAGGAAAACCATTGGGGCCAGCAGGCGGCGGAAACACGTTGAGCTACGGGGGCCCAGTGCTCGGACTCTGCCTCTGCCGCTCACCCTGAACTCTCCATGCGGCTCCCGCTCGCTCAGGCCCAAACCAGCCACCGGATACCGTCACCCAGCAACAGGCACCCACTTCCGGCAGCTCACAGCGCCTCCCGCGGCCGGAAGGGATTAATACCACACATCACTATTGGTACGGTGACGTGTTACAGCGCCGCAAGCGGCCTGGAGGCATCATTACAACACATCACCATTGGTGCCGTGACCATCATACAGCGCCGCCTATGGCTTGGAGGCATCATTACAACACATCTCCATTGGTGCCGTGACCATCGTACAGCGCCGCCTATGGCTTGGAGGGATCATTACATCATATCCCCATTGGCCCTCATAAGAACAGGATACTCAGGATCAGTTTTGGATTGCCTGTTACTTTAGTTAGCCCCTCAGCATGCGACTCTTGTACCTATTATGTTATGCTAGCCATTTGATTTGTCTCCAGCACCACCTTATTTTTAAATTTTTGCAATTATCACTCTGCCTTAATTAATTGGGATATACATCATCCCCTTCACTCACTGTTCAGCTGTTCACACTTTACTCACACCATCTGATAGTTTTGATCACCTACAGAGACTTATTATTCAGCCTAATGACACTCCACTCACACTGTTTGTATGATCTTTTGATCTCTCTGCCCATTGATGTCTCTGCTTATAAATTCTGTGTCTGTATGCTTTTCTTCACTTCATCTGATGAAGGGGCAGTGCTTTCAAATAATCCAATTGGACTACAACCTGATGTTGTGTAACACTGACCTTATTCACCCAGTCCAACACCAGCACCTCCACACCATTAGTGCAGTGACTGTCATACAGTGCCACCAATAGCCATGGAGACATCATTACATTACATCACCATTGGTGCCATGACCATCATACAGCGCTGCTTATGGCTTGGAGGGATCATTACAACACATCGCCATTGGTGCAGTGTACACAGAAGTATACACAGAACATTACAGCACATTACAGGCCCTTCGGCCCTCGATGTTGCGCCGACCTGTGAAACTAATCTGAAACCCATCTAACCTAAA